TTAGTTGTTAGACACTCTCTAGGCCAATATAATATTTTCTGTGCTAAGTATACAATATTTATGTAAAACGCAGGCAGGAAGAAAGTGGAACATTCCTTGAAATATTCAATCATTTAAAAAAAAAACTAAAAAAATGTTACAGAAACTTTTAAACACTTTTACAACCCTTACCATACCATTACCTGTGTATTAGCCTCAAAGAACAAAATAAAACAGATGTGTTCTTTAAACTACATCTCTCTACAAAGTGGATTTCTAACACAATTAATGAAGCATCCTATAATTAAAATGAACTTTCCCTGAGCATAAACTTCAGAATCCATGGCTAAGAACTAAAAGCATGAAATTAATTTAACACTATTAACGACTCAGAAAGGACAAATGTCCATAAAAATGTTCATATGATTTGTTTGGTGCTGCTACCCTGGCTGGGCGAAGCAAACTGCAAATGAGTTGACAAATTTGTTTAGGAGCAGCAGTTAATATGGAATATGGAACATTTCAAAGACAATTTGCAGTTCAGCAAATAAGCTGTGTAAAGCTGCGATCTGAAAGAATATCTCTTTTTTTCTTGTGTACCATATATGCTGCACTGGTATTTTTCTATTGAACTACAGTAATTTCAGGATTTTAATAATGCTATGTAAAACATGTGAAAGAAGCCTGGAAATAAATTAAGTATCATGCGCTGAGTCAGTTTCTCACCATGCTGTAGCTGTGCGCCACCTTCATGAGTTCAAGGCAGCCCTGAGCATCTGCAAAAGCCCGGATCCCAAGACAGTTGGATGGATGCAGCAGCTTCATGAGGAAGTGACAGCAAACATCAACTACCTGCGAGAGCTGCAGCAGACAGGCAGCTGCCAAGAGGTTTTCAATGTTGTCTTCCTTCAGCTCAAGGCACCCTACAAGCACACGATGAAAGACTAAATCAGGCTCTTCAAGACTAGTTCAGGTTTATTTCACACCCGCCTTATTTGGTGGGGAAGGTAGGATGTCAGTTTTTTTTTTTTACTACTGCAAAACCTTGAGGCCTCCTTGGTGTTGATCTGGCGAAGTACCACTGGTTCCACTATGTTGATACACTGAACAAGCGGGACATTGTTTTCCTCCATCTTGTCTTTCTAATGAAAATTGATAGAATTATTTTTTTTTTTAAATGCCAGATGCTGGATGCTGTGGTCAGTGCTGGGCTTTTTCTGTAGGATATGAACAGTACAGTCTACAAACAATGCAATTTTATTCACCAACTAACCAATCAGTATGCTGTTGCAGACAAACACCAGCTACAAACCACCTGAAAGCAAAAAAAAAACAACTTTATCTTAGAACTGTCAAAACCTGGTAAAGCTGTTTGGATTGGTAATAAACATTTTTGTCAAGTGAGTGTTGTTTTTAAATGTTACTCAGATCTATTTGCAATGTTATCTGCTTTGCATGTGTTTGGATTACTGTGTAAATCTCAGGTTATTGAAAATCATATATTACTGAGCCACCGTAACCTCTAAATTGTATGGATATTAGAAAATGGATACTGCAAATGAAAAAGGAGACACAATAAGAAACAAAAGTGGCTGGTACAGTATAATGTATTTTTCCTCTAGTTTACCTTGATTAATTACAGTAATTACTAGGTAAGATACTCAAGTGTTTCATCAGTCCAGGAAAACATAAAACACACATGGAGAGAGACAGGAAGATGGAGAGGAGAGAGAAGACGGCAGAACAGAGAAAGAAGAAAAGTGTTCCTCTAGATTATCCATAAAGATCTTGTTCAAGTTATGTGTTTGATCCTTGTTAAGAGAGCTTGCAATTCTTTGGTTTTAAGGAAACATTGATTTCCCGTGTAGAGAATCTGTCAGTTAAAAAAAGGGCTTCATGTTTAGTGTGTTACTGCATATTTTATTTCTTTTAATAGGAAGACAGGATCCCATTAATTTTTTTAGCTTTCAGGTTCATAGAGAAAAGTGACTGTAGGTCATATCCTGCTTGGCTTAGTAGGCAGGCTCACAAACCCTTTCTGATTTAATGGTCAAAATTCTCCCATGTATTGTTTACATGTATGCTTTATATTCTGTAGTGCCCACGTGGGGCGCTGTAGCCATTGCGTACGCAAGGCAGGCTGGGAACGGCGGCAGAGGTTTGGGACGAGGGCTGGGGACGCCCTCTTCCCTCATGTGTCTGTGTAGGCGTGGTGCAGTGCTGTAACCCCTCCTCAGCGTCTCTAATAAATGTCCTGCCAACCCACGCCAGAGCCTCCGGTCTGTTTCTTTCTGTCAGGCCAACCCCGGGAGCGTTACACTTCTCATACACTGTAAACATACAGTAAAACTATGTGAAGAAAGAGATCAATATGTAATCATGAAAGATTTTATTGCTAACTCTGTACAACATTGTGAACCACAGACAGTCGCAGTTCTGATTTTGGAAAGATACCAAATCATCCAGAGTCAATAGTTAATAAGAGCTGAGTTTCTGCAAGGAGAAACAAAACGGCTCAATATCAGTGCTGCAAAGAAAAATTCTCATCAAGACTGGTGAGAATTTTAAAGTGTCAACACAATCCAGGGCCATGTACTGAATCAACAGGGAGATCGTCTCCAGTACAAGAAAACAGAACCAAACAAACATTCTTTCAACATGTAGCGAGCACTATGGGGCCTTGCAGCCGAGAGCTAATCAGCTACTGTACGTCATTCAGGATCTGTGGTGTTCTCTGTACTGTACTGACAGAAAATACACAACTTTATGAGTATAAGTTCACCACACATAAGGCCTTCTGACAATAATAATAATAATAATAATAATAATAATAATAATAATGGCTACTTTCCCCCCTTGTTTAAAAGGCTAATGACATCACCCAGACTCAAATCCATATCCGAGCCATGATGTATGCAGGGGATACAGGCTCCTTTAATATTTTATTGCTACTCTTGCAATACACTTTCCTTTGAAGTTTAAGCCTGGTACTGACCTCTATGACTGTTGTTGACTAGCTGTAAAGAGGATAGTATTTTCAGTTACCTACTGCATCACTAGAGGCTGTAAAGTTCTCCATCTCTATCCAATTAGTTAATTGGTGAAGGGCTAAGAGTCACATTCTCACAAGGGAATAATTTATAAAGGGACTCATGAGTTTTAAAGGGAATCTTTGCTGGTGTTTATAGAATATGTGTCTGAATAAAGACCCCTTTACATTGTGTGCTGCTGTCCATCATGTGTTGTGCAGTATATGTTCAGACCTCATGAGCTGCCTATTTGGAAACCTGTCACAATCTAGTTTACTTGTTTTAAAATTCTTGAAAAACAAGTTGCTGATTAATATATGAAGGAGATCAAGTAACTGGTTTGCTAGAGAAGCTTATTTTAGTCTTGGCTTCATTTACATCATTTACATCATAGTACACCAAGTGCCTTCGTTACTTGTAATTTTCTTAGATCTTTCTGACAGATTTATTATAATGGATCATATTATTCTGTTAGTTTGCTTGCAGTATTGCACTCACTTTTCTGATAGTTTTGGATGGGTTTCAAAACATTTTGGTTAGAGGGAAACTGTACTCTGAAATGAGTTATGTGCAGCTTGGTGCTCTTAGAGTTCCAGTCTTGGTCCTTTATGTTTTATAATGTTTGAGTATAATGTTCATTTTTACACAAGCAGCGCTAGTCATCCACACTCTTACTGAGTATGTAATTCAGAATAATGCATAGATGGCTTCAATTTGAAATTTAATTCAGATAAAACTGGGATTTTGGCACACTCTGGCCCAATACTGTATCATCTACCAGAGCAAAGAAAATGGAATCTGGTCTCTCTTTAGAGTAATTTACCTTTAGAGGTAAATTAAAATGATTTTGTGAACACTACATTTTGCTATATCAGAAACCCAGCTAGGTTGAAACATGTTTGCTGTAATGGATGCAGAAATAATCCAACATGCGTTCATAACTCCACTGCTAGGTTTCTGCAATCACTAGAGCCTTTTGCTGTTCTCTTCCTGATACATGGATTTCCATTCCATAAGTAATTTCACCCTTTATTGAAAACATTATGCAGGACAAAACCTCAAGGTTTTCGAGGTGTACATTTTAATCTAAACCTGCTCTTAATAAATGCAGACTTTTGAATAATAATAGTATTATATTATATATTAAAATTATGTAATGAATTGTGTATAATAATACTCGTTAATATTATTATTATTATACATTGGATGACTGTAATCAGTAATTCTATGATTTTCTGAAACCGGTGTTAGCCATTATGAAACTCCAGTAAAGATGCTTGCCTGAGTGCAAGCTGAGGTCTGTGGCCCAGATAATATGAGGTCTGTCTGCTGGGGGTAGCTGACCAGAGCTCTGGTTTCAGGTGAAACTGTGAGCCCTGCAGTGAGGGATGCTCTCTCCTCCAATCAATACTGAACCTCCTGTACTTGAATTTAAAAAAATAAAATGAATGGCCTTAAGGCAGATGTATCAGAGCTATTCAGACCTCCTTATACTCCCCCTGTGTGGGTGTGTACAGTAACAAAAACTATTTGGCGGATCAAAATGTTGAAATAATAATATAAATGTATAATATTGTATATTATAGACATCTGACCTATAAATATCAACATTTTTATTGAAAAATGTACCGTATTAACCGACACTATCAACCGCTAAATCACACTATTGAGTAACTTTCTGCTATGCAAACTTGAGGAAAGCCTTTTTTTACTTAAAGAAAAAAAGACTTTATTCTCTTTATCAAAACTCAAACACACATTGAAATCAACCTCCACCTCACATGTCAAGATGTGGTTTTTTATCCTTTATAAGTTTGTATCCTTTACAAAATTACATTCTGTATCCTTTATTTCATTCTGTTGATGTATGATTTTGCTCATACATCAACAGAACAACTATTGTTGTTTTGCCCATTGCCTGTTGTCTCTGCTTTTCTTTTTTATACAATTGTATTTTTGTTTTTTGTACTACTTACCATCTGAAAGCTACCTAAATAGCATTTTGTTATATTATATACTGTACCTGTGTTTGAGTACAATGACAATAAATTTGAACTTGAACTATTGTGTTTTGGCCCATTCTTTGCATACGTTTGAAGAAAACACTTTCTTGCACTGGTTTTCTATATAATGCCGAGATCCATCCAAGAGCCTGGAAAGAGGCATCAGTTTGACTGTATAATCTATATGAATGCATGTACCTTACGTATGACATCACATATAATTAATATATAACCATTTTTGCTGGTGTGTAAAATAGGTCTGAGTGCATACCACTGCTCACACGCTTAGAGCAAACATACCCTGCCATTATTAATGTCTTTATGTAGTAATGTTGTTTGAAACTCTTCAGCAACCAGTAAACTACAAAATGGACAGGGTGTATAACATATTGGTACATATCAGCTGTGTACAGAACTTTTGTAACTTCCAGCTGTGTCTTATGCAGTAGGTCAGTTTGTTTGTTGTATTGCCAAAGAGCAAAGAGCACGTAGCTGTATCCTGTGGACAGAAACTGTGGTTGAAATGGATGAGCGGAGTGAAAACCAGGCACATAGCTCTCTCTTTATCTCTCTTTTTTTTAATTAAAAAATTAGTGTCAGATTACACTTTATAGAACAGAGACTGATCCTGTTTTACAAGGCAGTAATCAATATTTTATAATGGGCTCCTATTGATTCAAATATACCTAGACGGTAAGTGGTTGAATTAACTCAACAACAAATTTGTTTCAATTTGCCTTTGTTCTGGATAAAGTATATGCATCAATAAAGTAAACTATTCCATTTTAGTTACTTTAGAAATGTTGTGACTATGTTAAATATCAATTTTTAGTATATCCCATTTATACAGTATGTTTGTTCAGCCATTTATAACAAACTTTCAATATGTGATGTTGCCTATTCTATAAATGACCAAAAACACATTAATAATACAATTTGTAGTAACAGCAGTGATCCCAATAAGAATTAATTTGGTTTCACATTTTAAGGATATTTTATTATAGAAATGGACAATGGGAATTTCTGTTATCATTCATACAATATAAGAATTACTATAAATCTTTTTATAAACACGTAAAAGATATCCTTGCCATCCTATATATAATTATTGGGTTATTGTATTTACTGTATGGTATTGATTCTAAATATCAATCTCACTAATGTAACATTATTGAAATAAATAATGAGATTGTTTTGGCTACACAAATGTGTGGAGTTTATTTCTATTTACGGATGTCAAAGTTACCTTTTTATTGCACAGAACATGCCTTGTTTTTCTAATGATCTTTCAGCTTGTACAATGGCCAGAAGTTAAATTACTCCTTAATCACTTTTCTTTGAAGAAAAGCTTTATAAACATGTTTTTTGTACTGGCATTATGAGATTTGTCTGTTTGTATAGTATGTCCATAATCCTAGCTCAGACTTAGAATAGGATACAATAGTCACATCTGTATTAATAATTCCTTCAAGGAATTTTTAATTGTTCCATACAATATCCACATCCCTCTGCATCTCTGCGTTTGATATTACTGTATGTTAAATTTCATTTTGATTCAAGGAAAGGTTTATGGCAGAAAGCGGCTTTAATTAGTAGAATGTAAATTAGAAAAAATACCAGTGTAAGCAAACTGCACCAAATCCCACAGGGCAGATGGATCAATCCCTTCCATTTTGACTTCTTCTTGTTTGGCTTCACAAACATCACTTGTAAACATTGCAGCAAAGTAGTCTGACACAGCGCTTAGAACGAGCCTGCAAGTGAATCAACGAGACAGTTCAGAGTCTGATGCTAAAAGTACATGATGATCCAAAATATGTCTATAATTGCTGATATAATTACAGCACTTTTCAAGATGCTTTAAAGCTGTGCCGTCTGCACACATCAAACACATGAAAGAGAAAATAACACAGTTAACTGACTATTAAAACCATGAGTTTTATTTAGCTTTTAATTTATTTTTTGTAAAACATATCACATGAAGTGCTCAGTAGAGTGGGAAGCCCTGAATCAGCAGATCTCAGATTAAGAGTTGAGCTCTCTCCATTAAATACGCCTTAAAATATGCTCTATGCAGACCATTATTTTACTTGACCAGGAAAACCCTAAAAGTCTCAATTTTATAGAGAGCAGGTTTGTTATCTGGAGTTTCGCCAATCAGTGAGCAATAGAACTCTAAAATCCACTCTAGACTTGCAATTTACAGAGGACTGAAGTCATGTCCCAATTATGAATAGTTTTAGTTAGCACAAGAGCCTTAAAAGTCTGTGTGTATTGAAGCCCGTTTATTACCATAGTAGATACCTAGTAAGACAGATTTCGATGTGATGAACATTAATTCTTTAATAACACTATTGAGTATTTGTACAAACAGAAAGGGCATTTGCACTCCTTCTTAGGCCAAATTAGAAATAATTTTGTTGGATTAAGAGGATGATAAATTTCTTTAAATTCACATTTGAAAAGGAGCAAAAAATATTCCCTATATTTTTTCTTTAAATCTACAGCACAAATGTGAAAAATTGAGTGCTTTTTTTTAAATGCAGTTTAGACCCCTTTTCATTATATTATTTTTAACACTGAATTGCTAGTATGAGTTGACAAGAACAATAAAAGACATTTAACTTGAATTATATTGAAATTTTTATGAAATGTAGTGTTCAAGCACTACAATAAATACAAAACATATGAGCTAACAACACCATTTTCTGTTTTGTGCTGGAAAAATATTTTCTATACAGAGTTCTCTGTTAACTAGTTCATATTGAACATACTGAATATACAGTATAGTCTTAGTATTAAAAATATTTTCTGGGCCATTTAAAAATAACTGTAATTTTATGGTTTATTATCCATACAATACATAAACCTTTTGTAAATAATCTGTTATCTTTAACATATTTTATGAAAACTTTAAATGTCTCCTTTAATTGATTTGATTCAGTATATTTTATTTATATACATAAACTGCATATGCATAATTTCATCAAGAAACCTGGAACACATAAAACTAACAACACCTCACAATCTAGACACGTAGCACTACTGAGTCTCTATTTAAAACACAGAGCCATGTAACTTGTACAAATTATGATGGGAATACTATGTTGCACTTATCTTGACCTAAGATGTTGATTTAATCTCAAATATCTGAAAAGCTTAAATTGAAACTCATGAGGACACAAACTAAAACTACTGAGATTGCTAATAAAGGTCACAAGTGTCTGTCAAAAGATAAGATGTCCAAGGATTCTTTAAATGGCATCTTTGATGCTGGTGGCATACCAAATGAATCACTTCCATTGTGAAGAAATTGTATTCTAGCAGAGCAGCCTGGATATTGATTTATGTGAGAAACAATCTTTTTATGATACATATTATTTGTATCTGGATATTTATATTCACTGTAATTTTCTGTTTACAGTATGTCACAATACATTTACAGTCATGTTGATGAAAAATGTGTAGGAATTATCTGTTAAGGAACACTGCCAGGTCTGAGAAATCCTGTTGTACCCAAGAAGTCTTTTGCTTCTTTGACTTACAGTATTCATTGGCACACTTTGATTATTTCTGATTCTATTTTATGCAATTACTAATTTATATTTACCACAGTGTTATTTAGAAATAACTGTCATGTTCTATGTTTCATCCCTGCTCTCTGTTATGTTTGATTTCCTGGTGAAATTTAGAACTAGAACAATTAACGTGTTTCCCCCCTAATTCTCATATCCTTAAGTTTGAAATTATTTTAGAATAAACTAAAACAACATCAAAAATATTTATGTGTATGTAGAACTTAAGAAGTGGTAGCCATTGCATGCATAATTGAACAGTTCTAATTCAATGGCTTTGGTTTGTTTGGTTTGGTTTGTTTCATGTCCAAGTTCCTAGTTCACAAACAAATGCCTCACCTATGAGCTGGTATCTTGCGGTCTCCGGCAATCAATATAACATCACAGAGCTGTTGCTGCTTCAGGTAGCTCTCCATTTTCCTGAAGGTCTGCTCTGCATGATGTAAAGACTGATAAAACTCTTCTGAACTGTCTGACTCCATATGGTTGAGAGGTGGCAGGGGACAGCTGGCCACTGTCAGTCTAGAAAGCACACAATAATAGCATTGGTGATAAAAGTGCTCTTAATTCAGCAGTTTTAATCACAGTGTTTGCAGCAAGACCCTGAAAAGCTAATAAAGGAAATCAATATCCCTCTGACAACCACCAGAGAAAGAGCTACAACAGAGAATAATCTGTTGAACTTTCTTTATGGTCTGTTGTACGTCTGAAGTAAAACACCCATATTGCATTTATGAAGAAAATGTAAATGACTTGGCACTGTTTTTAACTTTTTATTTCTAGACAAGTGAACAAAAGTCAGAGGTTACAACAGTGTGTTAGATGATGAAAAGATTTAAAATAAAACTGCTGGGTATTCTATAAATTATAGGGTATTTAAACTTCTTGCCTCATATAGTTGAATAATAAAAAGATAAATTAATATCCCAGGGTCAATTCTTAACTATACCGTTGAATAAAACATCAGTTCTTGAGATTAAAGTTTTACTCAGGTTCAATCTTAATTAGAATAAGGTTTATGATTAAATCAGGGAGGTTAAATCAGCAGGTCTCAGGGGTTTACTATACTCATGCAATACGTTTGTAACCTGGAGTTTGGTCATTTGTTGAACAGTAATACTAATAGTGTAAATTCCACTCTAGGGTTTATAGTTTACATATGATTTGAGTTATGTGCTGATACAGGTTTATATGTTAACTTTTAGTTATCACATGAGCCACATACTGTACCTCTGGTCATACTAAAAACTGTATAGTACCTTATGTGACATCATTGAAAGTCAGGCATTACAATAGTTTATGATAATGTACGAATATTAGACAGAGTCGGGATTTTTAGCCAAACAATGTTGCACAAAAAAAAGTGATATTATTAACATAATATTTAAATGACAACATGTGATCAAATATAACATCAATGTCCATCAAGACCTGGATATCATCATCAACAACATCAAAACCTCAGTCATTAAATTTGCTAAGATAATGTTGGGAACCTGTGAGAATAACTTTATTCTTTGAATCTGTGTGTCCGGTATTTCGCCAAAGGTTCTGATTGATTGATGCCTAATTACCATTCAAGTACTCTCTGAATTTACTGATCCAATCTCTAATTGTGTAGCTTCCAAAAAGAAAAGGCACCTGTACATTTCAGAATTCCCATTAGTAGTATGCAAGTTGATCTGAGTATACTCAGCCTGCTACTGAAACCCATGGCATGAATTATCTGACCAAGATGCAACATGCAAACATTAAATAATAAAGATCTCAGCACAGAAATGTATGTCAAACCTTTTGCAAGTAGACAATATCAAATTTTAAAACTATCATAATGAATTAATTGGCTCCTGGTAGCCAAAAAACAGCCAAACCAGCAGAAAGATGTGCAGTGCCTAGATGGTCCATCAGACTGTGTGACTGACAGGATCAAAAGCTGCATGTACTAAG